ATGCGCGGTAGACGCTGCGGAAAAGAAAGGGTTAGAAGCGTTCAAAATGTGGTGTTACAGGAGAATGATGTAGATACCGTGGATAAAGAAGGTTAGAAATGAAGAGTTATAAGGAAGAATAGGAGAACAAAGGACTCTATCAAAGTCAATAAGAAATAAGCGAGATTGGTTGGTAGGACATCTTCTCAAGCGTGAAGATCTGGCCAGAGACATATTAGAGGCAGTAACGGGAGTCAGGAGGGGTAGAGGTAGACCTAGATTAGATTACTGTTCGCAAATAGTTAAGGATGTGGGTTTTTCTAGTTTTAGGGAAATGCGAAGATTAGCTCAGGATAGAAAAGAGTGAAGGTGCGAGTCCAATCAGTCTTAGGACTGACGACCTTATGATGACGAAAGATTTATAGGAATAAAATTGTAGGAATGAAGATATTATCACAGCCTGAACGTTTTACTACAGACCTTGTATATAAAACACTATTAATAATAATAATCTACACACTTATTAAGACATTTGGAATTAATAAAGCATGTTGACACATCATATCTCTAAAAATAGGTCTCGGTATTCTATGTTTAAAGAATGCGGGACGATTGTCGCACGGTTCACGACCAAATTTTATAATCCGAATAACGTTAGTTTTGTGTTTTTAAGCCATGTTTTTATATTTACAGCAGTCTCTCAGATTTAAGAAGCAGTAGCTACATTTAAAAGTGTCAACTGTATTAGAACTGACAACATGTAGACTTCTTATGTGCTAATACTTGCACAACAACTATGCTTCAATATTTACTCTGTTCTGCCTTGTAAAGACGCCTCAAAATTGCTGTAGCCAAATTTTTCAAGTTTCTTATGCGAATATTTAATATTTATGGTATACAATTACAATTCAAGAAGAAGAAGCCGACACTTTTAAGACATTCTTTATACAAATTTTAATATCAAGCTTACTTTTCAAAACGCAAACTTTGGTTACCTTTCCACAATCAACTCTATAAGAAATTCTAAGGGAACGTTACATTTTATTTCAATTTAAAACTTAATTTACATATCTTGAGTCTTCTTCTCGCTTTTATTGCCAACCACAAAAGAGCGTATTATTCTACGTCAAAATTTAACGAATTTGAAATTTGCATTCAATATTTTCTAGCAAACATTTAACAACACGCCCATAAAAGAAAAAATTACATCACCAACTTTTATCTTCAACCATTGCTCTTAGACAAAACATTAGAGAACATCTACCTAGTTAACAAGGATTCTTTAATGTTTTTACCTCCACAGGAGCACGATCTGAATTTATATGGTTTGATGTACATACATGTATATAATAGGTCAATTGAAAAGTCCCCGGCCTAACACATAGATGGCGGCACCAGAACTAAATCCATACGATTTTCAGTTAGTCCTAACCTTCAAAAGACGCGTCTATAAATTTGACGGCTGTCGGATCATTAGTTTGTGAATTATAGCATTTTTAGTGAAGCAACTTTTGTTATTGTGAAAAAAATGGATGAAAAGGAATTTCGCGTGTTGATAAAATATTGCTTTTTGAAGGGAAAAAATATAGTTGAAGCAAAAACTTGGCTTGATAACGAATTCCCGGGCACTGCCCCAGGAAAATCAACCATCAAGGATTGGTATGCTAAGTTTAGACGTGGTGAAATGAGCACCGAAGACGGTGAACGCAGTGGACGCCCAAAAGAGTCTGTTACGGACGAAAACATTAAAAAAATCCATAAAATGATTTTGAATGACCGTAAATTGAAATTGAATGAAATAGTAGACACTCTACAGATATCAACGGAACGTATTCATCACATCATTCACGAATATTTGGGTATGAGAAAGCTCTGTGCAAAGTGGGTGCCGCGCGAGCTCACTTTTGACCAAAAACAACGACGAGTTGATGATTCAGAACAGTGTTTGAAGATGATCACGCGTAATAAACCCGAGTTTTAGCGTCGATATATGACAATGGATGAAACATGGCTCCATCATTTCACTCCGAAGTCCAATCGACAGTCATCGGAGTGGACTGCACACGATGAACCCGCTCCAAAGCGTGCAAAAACGCAACAGTCGGCTGGCAAGGTTATGGCGTCTCTATTTTGGGATGCGCGTGGAATAATTTTCATTGACTACCTTGAAAAAGGAAGGACCATCAACAGCGACTATTACATAGCGTTATTGGACCGTTTGAAGGACGAAATCGCCGAGAAACGACCGCATTTGCAGAAAAAGAAAGTCCTACTTCACCAAGACAATGCACCGTCTCACAAGTCAGTGAAAACGATGGCAAAAATTCATGAATTGGGCTTCGAATTGCTTCCGCATCCACCGTATTCTCCAGATCTGGCCCCCAGCGACTACTTCCTGTTCTCAGATCTCAAAAGAATGCTCGTTGGGAAAAAATTTTTGTCGAATGAAGAGGTGATTGCCGAAACTGAGGCCTATTTTGAAGCAAAGGACAAGTCGTACTACAAAAATGGTATCGAAAAGTTGGAGGATCGCTATAATCAGTGTATCACCCTTTAAGGGAATTATGTTGAATAAAAAAAACGAATTTTGCAAAAAAAATGTGTTTTACTATTTTAGGCCGGGGACTTTTCAATTGACCTGTTATATGTATGTATAGGTATATACATTTTCCAGGAATGATTAAAGCTTACTGTCGTTTCATGTTTCCTGAATAGACTACATGAAGTAGAACAATCTGAAGCCATCTAATCGAAAAAAAAAAATGCGTTGAAAAATTTCTGACTCGCTTTCATCTAAACTTTTTAATCCAATTAAAATTAGTTTTCTGAAGTAATTTATAAATTTAGCAAGATTCCTGGAAGTACTATTTAGCAAAGAATAAACATAATAAAGCAATCAAATCAGACACGTCCTAAACAAAGTTGTCGTCTGTAAATTGGATCAGCTCAGTCAGTTCAAAATTTTAAATTATCTAAAAAGTAGGGAAGTGAATGTAAAAGTAGGAGACGAAAAATTAGAAGAAGTGGCTAATTTACAATATTTAGGAAGTCTGATAGCTCAGGATGGTCTTTTAGTGAAATATCAAGATTAGTTCAGGGTGGGATGATGAATAACGAATGAACTGACAGCGATTAACATACTAATAGCTTTTAGTGTACTGTTATAGATATACTTCATTTACTTTCTCTAGCGATGTGCCCCTTCTAATGTCTTGGATGCGCGCTGACAAAATCGTAGGTAGGGAGAAAAAAGCTCATTATACTCTCGACTCTTGTTCATTAAACATACTTTTTCATACAGTGCCTGCCAAAAGTTTTGTTCAATCATGAATAGTAGTGAGAGTCGAAAACAAGCATTAAAACCTTTAATAATGTCTTCAAATATAAATAAACATCTCGTTGATATTTTCAATAGTAATTGGTACCAGTAACAGCACATTTGAGGAATGCAATTGTAGTGGAAAAAATGGTCAATTTTTCCGTACAGTACTGTAGGGACTATACGCTCCTCACTGATTAAAAGTTTGGCCGAGAGTTGTCTCCTTTCTTTTCTGGCCTAGTGCTGTTCTTTTCTACTTTGCGCGGTCAAACTGAAGGTCACATCGCTACAGAAACTAAACGAAATATAGCTGAATTATTAGGAAAATTGGTACAATATCTTCAGGGTGGCGAATCTTGTGAAAGAGGCGGATATATTTTTGTACCTATGTCTCTCGAGAAACAGTAGTTTTAACAATAAGTAACCAACATTTTACAAATTTGCATAGCCAACCTTCAGCTATTCATTCATAATGGAACGCTCTGAGTTAGGCTTTGGGGTGTTTTTGACTTCCTCTTGGTCCAGTTGCTGTAGGTTCGGTGTTTTCTTTGAATTTTCGACGAAATTATTAAAAGTTGAAAATTTACAACCTCGCAGATTTATAAGATGTTGGTTGATGGTATTGAAATCAAAACCCCTGGATGTACAAACGTATAGACATTGGTTATCGCCTTGGCAAGTACTGGAGCAATGATATTCCTTAAATAGTCCTTCAATCTCCTTCTCTCCTCATCTCTTCTAACAACCCTCTATAGATAAGAAAGAGACAACCCCCTACCATCATCAACTGAAGGCAATGAAACATAATGATAATAATAATAGTAAAACTCCTCCAGGACTCCTCGAACGGCATTCTAGGATTCCAGACGTATTTTCCCCACAAAGTATTATCTCAAGAGATTGTGCCAGTTATCATAATAGTCTCATTAACCAGAATTTTTCTATTTGAGTGTACCATCCTATTCAGTTTTCACAAAATTATTCCTAATGAAAATGAATGTCATAACTTTTCATCAAAGTTTTAAAAATTGCTATTGGTGTTTACAGTATGAAGCATCTTCTCAGTTAATTAGAGAAATATTGTTGGAAAATCATTTAAATTAAACGGCGTGCGGTGTTAAACGCTTTAGCGTGCAAAGATATCCGTTTTAGTTTGGTTGTAACAAGGATTTGCCTTGATTGCATTAAACGCGTTCGGGCAGTGCAAATGCTAATGTAATCGCTGTAATCTGGCAGATTTGGCTGTAACGGATATTTCAATTGCATTTAATTAAAGGGCCCAACCTCTGTACAAATTAAACCAACAAAAGTACAACTAATGGATCGTAATCGGAAAAAAACTTAAATTTTCACGAAATATTTCGAGAAACGTTCACTTCTGGGTTTAACAAGTAGTACTTACATGTTTTTGTCGAGGAATTCTAAGAAATACTCATAGAAATGTGTTCAATATTTAAATTTTCATGACTTATTTATATCTCAAGGCTACAAATTTAGAATGTCACAATTGAATCCCTCTAAACGTTTAGTTATTAGTCGTTTTTGACTCCAAACCCTAAGATGGTGAATAATTCGATTTATAACATCGACGATCGCTAAACTAATTTATTATCATTAAATCGTCTTGGTCCAACATCTTAAGTTATCATATAAATAAACAATAAGTCAACAATCCTGCGGATTAAAAAGAAATTTGACTTACCCATTATTTAAGTCTCTATCAGGACAAAAAGCGCAGTGGATACACCAAATTAAGCTTCAGTCACTTCAAATATTGATGACACTAAAAGGTCCTAATAACGCCACGCTAATTGTTTTAATTAAACTGTTTTTTTATCGAATATAACACACGCGTACCGCATAAAGTCGCACAGAACGTTCCGCGTTCGCGATTTACTGACCACCGATCGATGGAGTGGATCGTAGTCCAGGCACATGCGAGCTTCTTTATTGGCTGTTAAAGCTTGCGGCAACTTTAGCAGGACTGCGCAGGATTACGAGTGAAAGTCACTGTCAGCATAAACAGGTAATATCTAAAAATAGAAGACAGCATCAACTTATTTATCGTATTTAACACTACAATTTTACATTCGTTAATAAAATATATAGAACGTGGACGTAGAATTGTGAATAATACTTAAATAATATTATTATAAAGAAATGCTTTTTCAGAGTTTACTCAATTAATTAAAATTAAAATTGTAATATTTAATAAAACAACATTCGGTTGATCTTACGTTAAAACAAAATCTACAGTAACATTACTTCAATTAATGCTACAATTAAAATTTGATATTGGACATTATGCGATTGTTTCTTTCATAGTGAAGCAATTTTATAATGAAGAAAGAAACTTGGTTTTTAACGATATCGTTTTTACTTTTGCTATATTCTCATTCTTAAAAGACAGAAGTACATTTGATACTAATAATTCTATATAGTAGGTATAGCATGATGGTAATTTTAATTTAAAACAACACGGAGAAAATGAAAAAGGAAAATTTACCTAAATATTAAATCAATATTTACAATTTATCCCACTAGCCCGTTGCTTCGTAAGCGAAAAGAATAAAAATTACAATTTGGACCCGAATTTGTAAAAATAAAATCCCAGCAGNCTATTCATTCACCAAATTAAATTGTAATAATTAAAAAACATGAAATAATTTAAAAAAAACATGTCAAAATTAAGATTATTACAAGTTACCTAATACAGACTTACTATTTTTGCTAGTTATCATAAAAATTTAGATTTCTCCGTGAACACGCAAGTCAATTTAGTAGTTCTTTAGTTAGAAATACTACATTGACACAAAGTTTAATTTATTATAATTTTTCCGTTAAGTATTTTTTGTGAATCACACTGTAAATCGTAACAATCGCAATAAAATAGAAACGCTTAAGTTAATGCAGACATTAATTACTCCACTAACGCTAATTACACCTTTTACAGAGAAACTTTAAGCGACAAAGATGAAGATGGCGCAATGCTTGGTACAAGGCATGAAATCAACCTCTAATTTGGCCAATTTTACATCACGGTTAAGCATTAATTGCTAAGTAATTGCCAATGTTTTTTGAAACAGTTCTGCAATTTAAATGTCCACTAAATGTAGCACAAAGGCAAAAATTATTAACCAAAATTACAAAGTGCTTGACCGAGAATTATTTGCGTCTCTACGTCCTACAATTAGAATCTACTAATCGTAATAAGCGATATTAATATAATTAAATCATTAGTCCAATACTCTAATAATGTTACCACATATCAGGACGCTCCATAATTTTAAAATACAAAAAAAAAATAAAACGCAATATCTGTTACCATCATGGGATCATGTAATCTGTGATTTCATGTTCTTTTAGGCGTTTTAATATATTCATCCAGAGNAAATCATTAGTCCAATACTCTAATAATGTTACCACATATCAGGACGCTCCATAATTTTAAAATACAAAAAAAAAATAAAACGCAATATCTGTTACCATCATGGGATCATGTAATCTGTGATTTCATGTTCTTTTAGGCGTTTTAATATATTCATCCAGAGGGGAACATAAAGAAGCAATTTTATGTCCTGTTCCAAATTTCCATAAAATCCTGAAGGATTTTACGAAATAAAAAATCATTTTTTGTGAAACACCTTCCGCATATTCATTAGAAGATTATTCTAATCCACGGCGGTAGCTAGACAAGCAAATTCACTTTTTTATTAACATCTAAGAAACCCGAATAGCCTCAAACATGGGTAATACGCACGAAAGGATAATTGCCATGTTTCAGATATTTCCCGTAATTAATTACCTCCCTTTCACAATATTCTGCTACCAAGTACAACCTCACACACAGTACAATAAATGGTTAAACGTCTGCAGAGAACAAGTATAAATTTATGTTATTAAGTCTAACATGTCTTGCTGGATGTAATGTGAGAGACTGTGCGGTTAAATTCAAAATTTCTTAAGTCTTTAGTTAATATTCGCGTTCAGAATTTCACCACTACACCCCAAGAATCTCCTCCATCGGAAAATAACGACATTAGTTATTCCACTAGAAAGTTTCATTCGCCTAAAGTGATAAAACATTTTATAAATGTATGGCATATCCAAAATCTATTGGAATTATTATTCAACTCTTAAACACCGCTTGAGATTTTTTGGTTTACATTGATTTAGTACACAGATTGTCAAGGGTACAGAAATAGACATAGGGTATGGGGAATGGGGAATAAAATAAGCTAACCTGACCTACCATAAAATTTTGTACACACACTATCAGAAGTACAGAAGAAGGGCATAGAGTAGCATTTCATTATCATAAGATCGTCAGTCCTATCCTAAGCTAATCTTCGCATTTCCCTAAAACTAGAACATCCCACATCCTCAACTATCTTCGAACAGTATTCTAATCTAGGTCTACCTCTACTCCTCTTAACTCCTGTCTCTGCCTCTAATATGTCCCTGACTAGACCTTCATGCCTGAAAAACTGACCTACCAACCTATCTCGCCTATTTTTTATTGACTTCCATAGAGTCCTTTGTTCTCCCATTCCTTCAGATACTTCTTCATTTCTAGTCATTTATCTAGAAAAAAAAGTACTTTTACCCATGAATAAAAAAAATTAGTTTCATGTGGTCGTCGATCATCTTCGACACGTATTTAGAGCATCAACGCAAACGAAACCTATAATGGAAAGTATTAGGTATAGTTGGAATGTTCAAAATTGTCATAGTCTGCAATAAAACTGACGCATTTACTTTCTTCTTTCAACTTAACAACTAGACTAGAGCGGTTGTAGTCAGAACGCCCACTTTTACTCACGACAAACGTTGTAAAGAATATCGTAAGCCTAGAAAAGAGATGTCAGATAGGAATTGCAGCGCATACAAGAAAGAAGATACGTCTATTCTTGCACATAATTTATTGCGGACTATACCAAGTTTGATCGTACCAACTATATGTAATAGTTATTTCTTTTAAAGTATTTAATAGTGATTTGTAACGGATGAAGGCACAGTAACTACCGACAACATGGGGCTTGTATTTTAGCGTTTATATCTCATATTACCTAAAAGTTTATATCACGTAGATTCCGATTTTGATACTGTTTAAAACTTATATTTTAAGTGCAATTCTAAATTCATTTCTTTGACGCGTAGTTGAATAAGCATCAGCAGTTTCAAAATGAAATGAGAAAATTAAATAAAGTTCTTATTCAGTACAACTGTCGAAATTAGTTTCTATAGAAGAACGTGAAGTTTTAGTATTAATTTCTTTGGAAGTTTTTTGTTAGGAGCCGTCAATGATTAAAACTTCAAAATATATGGAAACAAAGCAGAGCGTAGCTACTTTAGAATAGGCACATAATTATAAAATTATAAATAGACATTCATCATCTACACAAGTTTTGTGAAACTGTGTTTAGAACCAAAATTGAAAATGTTTGAGATATGGTGTTATAGGGGGATTGTGAAAATAATGTCATAGATATAGAAAATGTTAAAAAAATCGGTTGTCTGTAACGTCGGTTTACTGACGATAGTTGAACGTGACAACGTCATAAGAAAATACTGATGGAATGGTTTCATTTTTCAAAAGAAAATTTTAATTTTATTTGTTTGATAGATATTTTGTATGGATATAGAGAAGGAGGTAAATGGCAATGTATTATTCTATAGCAGCTGTCCACGCGGACGCATCGCTCACTCAAGTAGGAGAGAGACAGATGTCGAACGCTGCCGAACGCGGAGGCCTCTTTGTCGCTCGTTCCGCACTCTCGCTTGCACTTCAAGCCTTAAATGGAACGCCTCAGAGCGAGGTAACGCCGCATGAGTCATGTTTTTTCGTGCGTCATCGAATTATAAGACGTTGTCACGTCAAAATGAGAAAGTATCAAAAAGAGTAATATAGCAAAAACGCTACGGAAGCCAATGAGGTAATGGAAAGATAGAATAGTGGGATGCTTCGTGAGGCATGAAGGGTTAGCTAGAGAAACAGAAATAGGAGCAATGAGAGGCAAGGGAAGATGAGACTAGTGTTCCCAAATGGTTGGGGTTTAGTTATGTGAGTTTCAGTTTTTGAGAAATGAGAAGATCAACTCAGAACTAGAAAGAAGTTTCAAGCTAGTCTTTGAACCAAGTACCATATGGAGATGAATGTAAAAATTCTTTCTGAAGTTTATGTATTTGTTACTCCGTTGACCCGAATATTTTCGCGTTGGTACTTTTACTGTAAAAATTCCCTGATACGTGAATTTGCGACTTTAACAATTTATACACGAGTGTAACTCTAATAAAGAAGTAAATCCGTAGATAATATCCAACTACATTTCTTTACTCGCAAGAGATCTTCTCTATACATAATTGCTGACATTTCCGACGCAATCCGTACGCTGTAACCGGAACAGTTAAACTTTATGTAAACGTTAACACAATGGCAGTGTTTGCTTTAAAAGCAAATCCGCGATCGTTAATGCTAATAATGTCGAGACTAAGCTCCTGACTGATCTATTATTCATGACGTGTATTCTTACAACAGTAGATCGTTCATGAGACCATGTTCGTACACATACATACGTTACCTATGCCGAAACATGATGTAATAATTCTCCTACCCTGCTCTCCCGTTTATCTCCCATTCCATCCTACTCTAGAGTTATGTACAATTACATGTATAATGGGGACCAAGACGTGATGAGATTGTAATCGATCTAGATCAAGACGTATCTTCCCAACAGGCGTGCGAACGTGGCAGTTTATTAAACATGTCAAGATGTTGTTCGATATCCAATGTAAATTTCTACTTCACCGTTATTAATAACGCTGAACATTATAGACACGCAGACGGGGGGTGGAGCATTGTACGATAAAATCGGGTCAATTTAGGAAGGCGAACTCTGTCATACTAAACACTCGCGCTTTGGAGCATCTCTTCTGCACTTCTACAATAAACATCTGTCATAGATCAATCGATATCTACTTCTACAAACTTAAAAACAAGAGAATATCTTAGAAACTTCAATTCTAGCATTTG